AGACAGTGTAATCGGGTTTCAACATCTAGCCGCGGCATAAAGGAACGGAAAACAAAGCAGAGAACGACTTAGCAAGAAAAGTGCATTTATGCCGAAACCCCAAAAAAATCACCTTTTTCGAGCCATCTAAAGCCGCAATCCAATTCGAGATTTTTTTGGCAAAAAATGACTCCATTTATGAAGAATTTGCAACTGAAATGAAGAAATTACAAAGCTTAACCTTTTGTAGAAGATAAGGCAGTGAGTGGAAGCCAAGTGTCAACAATCTGAATGTCTTGCACATTGATGGCCGGCAAGTGGCCGACAGGTATCATTGATGGCCGGCAAGACGCATTGATGGCCTGCAAGCCACCTCTCAAGGCCGGCATGTGGGTGGCAACCTTTGTTTGTGGCCGGCAGTCTCACTTTGACCTGTTGTCCCTCTTTCTACTGAACAATGCTAAAAGCATGTGTTTTGTTCTGCTTTTAGTCTATTTTAAGGTCTTGTTTTCAGTCCTTTCGGCTTTAGCCGGCTTGCTATTTTTGTATGTCATTTGTTGTTGCATTGTTTTGCTTATCGAGTTGTATGTTGTTCTGTTTATCGAGTTGTCGTCGTTTTGTTTATCAAGTTGTCATTGTGTTTTTTATTGAGTTGTGTATTGTTTTTCATTTCAGTTGTTGGTCGGTTCATTACCCGATTAAGAACGTTGTGCCAATACAAGTGGTGCTCATGATGCAAAATACAACACTTTTTCAAAAAAGAAAAACTGATTTTCATTCCGATCATGGTTGTTTTTACAAAAGTGCAGTACAAGTTTTTAAAGAAAACAAAACTTGTCTGAAGTTGTACAATGTGCTAAAACTATAAACAAAAAGAAACTAAACAAAAATACAAAAATCAGCGTTGGTCGCCTCAAGCTCGAGAAGCCCTTTTCGTCCTCTTCCTTGGATGAGAGGACTCTGGGGCACTGTCTCCATCAGCGCCACTATCTGAACCTAGACCGGAACATCATCGCTCTTCGCCTCAGAGCTCGCCTCGGCATCACCTCCACTCTCAGAACTCGAGCCGACATCATCACCTTCACTCCCAAATGACTCTGAATGCTGACTCACTGCCTCTTCAGAGTCACTCATCTTAGCATCGCCATCACTCTGAATAGGATCTGAAGGACCACTCTCAGCTCAGGTGCCCCTAGCTCTGCCCCAGTCTCTCTCTCCTCCTTGCTGCTGGAGAAGGCACTACTGGTGCGAGCGCTGTAGCTGCTGTTAGTGCCATCGATATGGGTGGAATCTGAAAAGATAATTGTTACATATCAGTTATAGCATGTGTATCAGATGCAAGCATAGTATGCAGAATGAGTATATACAGAAGTCAGACACAGTGTGTGAATACAATATGCAAGCACAGTGTGTCAGATGTGGTCTATCGATGCAATGTATCAATGCAGTTTGGGAAGTTTTCAGTTAGAATGTCAGTGTCAGTGTGTTAGTGGAAATTTGATGCATGGAATGTAAAACTAAAGGAACTACCTGAACACCATAGAGGCTGAGCAACACCTCTCTCCTCTGTACCATCCCCATCAACGAGGCTATCAGCTTGAGGGCGCCTCTTGTGTACTCGATCGGTGCCTACAAATGCAGTTTGAATGATCAATATCTGCAAATGAAAATATTTGAAATGAAACATGGAGTGCAAGTGCTAAAGTGTGGATCATACTAGAGTCGGGCCTCGGATCCCAACAAGCTCATGACCAGCCGTTGCGGGCTCAATCGGGACCTGGTAGGCATCCCCAGTGTGTCGCCAGCAAGTTAGTGTGGTAGGAAGCTCTAGCCAATCACCCTCTGCCCCGCTCGGGAAGCCCCTCTGCCACGGGCTCTGCTAGCCTGGATCACTCTGGACCTCTCTCTCGCAGCAGGAGCTCTCACCTCCTCAGCTCCACGAACACCAGTCAAGGACGGTATCAAGTGTGTCTGAATGGAAGCTGCATAGTCGCCCTCTACTCGAAAAAAGTCAGCATCCAAGCCCACCATGAATTGGATAACCTCCACAATAGATAGGCTCTCTATAAACTACATGGACTCTGGTGGAACCATTGGGACGATCGGGTCAGACAGGCCCATAATCTAGCGCATGAAACGCTCGCCCAAGAACCAAGCCCAGCAGACTGGGCCCTCGAGTAGAATACGATAGCGGGAGGTGGCCCAGGCACCGGCGAACTGGTCCCGGACCCCCTAGCATCAAGGCCCATGGCTGCCACATGGTCTGTAAACAGAAGTTGAACAGATTATTAGTCGTTGTCAGTTGCTAAATGAATAGTTTCAAAGCAAAAATGATTGTGTTTCGGATTACCTCGTGGGCAGCTATTGTATCGAAGTACTGCCTGAAGAATGTGAAAGGCTCACAGGTCCTACGACGAAAGCTGACCGTCATATATCCACGAATAGGGTACTGTCAATGGAAGCTCATCTACAAGCTCCATGGCGAGAGTTGGAAAGTATGTGTATACCCATAGCTGTAGGAAAAATGCAATGGTATGTGATCAGTATAGTTTTTTAGCAGATTTAGAAAGTACAAAGCAGAAAGCACAGTGTATGAACAGTTTTTGAGCAGATACAGAAATGCAAAATAGAAAGCAAACAGTGTCGAAGCAGGTACAGAAATGCGAAGCAGAAAGTATGTGTTGAAATAGATGTAAAGTAGAAACTGTAAAGTAAATATAAAGTGCAAGGAGAGAACTGAGATGTGTACCTCTCAGGCTCGCCAGTAGCCTCCAATCAAGTCTTCCCGCAGACGAGAGGTAGAGCTCATATATTCGTACAGCGTGGTGAGGCCAATTCTACCCGAGTCGTAGAAACGAACTCGAGGAAAGGTCACCAGGGCACTCAGCAAATGCAGGCCTACTGTGTTCCACCTGTTCAAAAACAAGGTGGTACCGAAGATGAACATCAGGAAGCCCCTAGCATACCACTCAATCTCGTCTATCATCCCGAGCTCAGTTCCCATAAATCGCTCAGCACCCCTAAATCACTCAGCAAACCAAGTGTATCTTACCATCCTCGTCTGGTATATGGGTGGGTATGCCCCCAGCAGCTAGAACCAAGCCGCCTCCCACTCTTCCATATCTGTATCAAGAGGGATTAGATCGCCCCCTACGTCTAAGCCGATGATCATGGCAAAGTCGCAAGGAGTCATCGTCATCTCCCCTGCGATGGAAAAGTAGAAGGAGTTGGTGGTATCCCACCACCTCTCCATGAGTGTTCCTAGGAGGGGATGGCTCGTGGAGACCCGAGTCAAGCTAGAGCAAAAGAGGCTGAAGCCTGCCTCGTCAATGATGTCACGAACTCCAGCTGGGAGCTTGTCATACCAATCTCGAGCAGTCAGAGCACTGTAACCTCTAAAGGCGCGAGACTCGCCCTGTGGCAGAAGACAAATGCAATTAGATATAGGACAATGTATGAAATGCAATCAGGTTAAGGCAGCGCATGAAATGCAATCAGATGAAGGCAGTGCATGGTCAAATACAAGACAATGTATGAAATGCAGTCAGGTGAATTAGATATGAGGCAATGCAGGAATTGCAAATAATTAAAGGTAAAATACATGAAAAATAAAGGCCCTACCTCAACGACACTAGCCGACAAGTGAGAATCCGGCTCCCTCAGCAAAAGGTCCTCCGGTGCACCGCGGGCAAACTCGATGAAGCGTCTGATGCCTCCGGAAGTGGGCAATATGTGTATCTGTGGGTGATATTTGTTGTTTGTGTTTTTTTTTTTTTTTTTGAAGAACATATAACTGTTATTCTTCATTTTAAATGCAGATCTTCTTCATTTTAATGATATTGTTGCCTGATTCTAATTTGGATTTAGTGGATTTTAGTGAATGGATAAAAATACTATATTTAAACACCAGATTTAGTTGCCTAAATGTCCCAGTTGCCTAAAGCAAAAAATCAAACACTAGATTTAGTGGATTTTAGTGAATGGATGAAACATACAGCACCCATTGATGATGATGAGTACACAATGGTATTTAGGCCATTAGTTCCTTCAGGTAGATCAAGAAAATTAGATCAAAAGTAACTGCTACTTGTTCTTCAATGCCTCTTGTTTGAATTTGTTGTTGTCATTTACTGATGAAGATAACACTTCAAAGTTGATTATGCCTGTACATGATAAAGATAATGGAGAATGGAGGAGAAGGATGTAAAAGTATTTCATCAATAATTCTTTCAATCATTTCTTGTGTTATTGGCATCTCTATATCAAATTGGTGCATTCAAATCATTTGAATTTGAATTCACATGCTATATACATAACAATGAACTATAAATAGAAAAAACTACTTAGAATAATACATAAAACCTGGTTTGGAAAATATGTAACCCACATTGTTAGAACATTAGGGATAAATAAGAACAAGAAGAAAATGGAAGATAAATCTTTAGCACTACACAAATTGGTATTTCTGGAGCAACAAAAGTTAAAATAAAAACTTTACAGTCTTGGATAAAACAACCAATAACTGAGATTTTCATTATAACTTCTGCTAATTTCTACCCATCAACAAGCAAAGTCTATTGTATCTCATTTCATTCCTTTTAAAATTTTGACCGTACTTAATTGTAGAATATTCATCCATGTTCACAAAATGAACTTGTTTTCATCTGACATGTTTGTAGTTCAGGTTTCAATGGATATTGGGATTAAGGCTATGAATTAGTTCAGTAGATTCTTGGTTCTACATACCAATTTAGTAGTTTTTAAGGCTTGAAAATGATTGTTTGTCCAACTAAGTTGATATTGGCTTTCGGTTCTACTTACCAATTTACAAATATATGTGGATTTATGAGTGATACTTGAGCGGTATTGGTTATGTGTGTAATTAGCAGTAGGGGTTGGATTTATTTGACTTACATTTTTTTCAAAAATATTTATCTATGAATAAATATACACATATATATATATATATATGCAAATAAATAAATAAATAATCCTTGAAATCACACCATGGTATTTGGGCAATGGCAACAACAGTACACAATGATCTCTCCATTGATGATGATGATGATGATGTTATTGAAGTTGGTAGAGGAATCAATGGTCCATGGCCTCAAGCAAATGAAGCTCTTTTCATTACCCTCATGGATGAGGAGGTGAAAACCAAGAGTAGTAAAATAACTGGGACATTCACTAAACAAGCTTGGAACAGGTTGAGAGATCAAATGAACGCAAAAACCCAATACCAGTATAACGCACACCAGCTTCAGAAAAAATACAATCAGCTGCGTATTATGTTCAACAAATTTAGAGCATTACTGAAGCATACAGGTGTTGGTTGGGATAGCCAACGGCTTACTATCATTGCACCGGATGACGTTTAGGAAGCCCTTTACAAGGTTTTATTAATTTTTTGCATTTTGTTTGCTACATTTAATTGGGGAATTCTTCATGTTAACCTGAAATTCATTGGTTCGTAGGTTAATAGCCACGCAAAGAGGTTCAGGAAGAAAGGGATGGTTTACTACCATGAATTGTCTCGTATCTTAGAAGACACATCCGCAATTGGTAAACAAGCTCACCCTTCCACCAAATCACCTTCTGAAAGTAGTGCTAGTTCTGATCCTGAATTTAAGGTAAAAAATGAGGACTTAGATGCATTGCAAATTGATAGTGATAATGACAATGGAGATGGCCAAGGCAAGTGCAAGGGAAAAAGTAAAATGGCAAGTAAAAAGAGTAAAAGGAGGAGCTCTTTTCAAGCTAATATTTCTGAAGCACTCAAAGAAATGAGTGAAAATAGCAAGAGGAAGGTAGACCTAATGGAAAAGCGATTGACAAGTACTTCAGTTACTAATGTTGGCGATGACAGTGGTTCAATTGAAGGTGGCCCTACTACCTCACATTCACTACTGAAAGAGTGCATGGCACTATTGCATGCTATGGAGGAAATTCTTGCACCTGCTTACACTAAAGTTGTGAACAAGCTTGCATAGGATCCCATAATAAGGGAGGCATTTGTTGATATGACTGCTGGTAGGATGAAGGATTAGGTCCTTAATCTTTGAAAGTTATTCTAGGAGAGTTCAAGCTTAGTGTGGTGTGTCTTTGTGTTGTTTTATTTACTAGTAATGTTGGATAATATTTGGTAGTTCAATATGTTAGTTCGTATGGATGTTTTCATGGTATTTGTTGATTCAGTGTATTGCACTTTTTATTTTGTTTTATTTGTTTTAGAATTATTTATTATGAAAACAGAGTTGGGTGTGTGTAGCATGTTTTTAATATTGTACTTGAATGCTATTACATTGTGAGTTGAAGGGCAGATATAAAATTGTTGACAATGCACTTCAATGCTACTGCTATATTCAATGAATGTTGCTGCTATATTCAATTATCTTGAATGCTATTACAATGGGAGTTGATGGGTAGTTGAAGTATTGAACACAAACAACCCAACTTGAATGCTACTACTATATTCAATGATCTTCTCCTATATAATGATTGTTGGTGGTCATTCCAAGTTTTTTTAATCAAGAGTCCAACAAAGTTTCTGTATTGTCAACAATTGGAAAAGGTATGTATGACCATATTTACATTTTTTTTAAGAGTTCAACAATGATTCTTACTACATTACATTAGATATATTTATAAATAAATTTTTACTCATAAATTTTTATGCGTATAATAAATTGTGAAAGATGTTTTTTTATGGTTTGTGGAAGAATTGAGATATTATTATTATGGTTTGCAAGTTGTTATGAACATTACTAATATGGTTATGAAATTTATCTATGGTTGGTATTGTATCAATATGGTTATTATGGATGCTTATTATAATGTGTATGATCCCATTGTCAAAAATAGAAATAAATAAATAAATATTTTAGGCCTTAACAAACATGTCTTTTAGTTTATGTTTTCAAAAAATTTCAAACATTTTGTCTAAACCAAACGCGTTTATTATTTATGTCTTTCTAAAAATAAACAAAAATCAGTTTATAAAATTTTTGTAAACATTTAAACGTTACCAAATGCTACCTAAACAATTAAACTAACAATTAAATCACAAAATAAAAATAAAACAAAATCACTAACTAAACAATTAAAAAAAAATTAAAAACAATCTACTAACCAATTAAACTAACAAGAATCACTAACTAAACAATCAAACTAAACAACTATATTATATAAAAATAGGCTACAACAAGCTAAATAATTATTATTATTGTCATTATATATATATATATATATATTGTGTTTGGGCCGCCCGTGTGCCGGAGATGGCTGCACGTGCGGTGATTCTGGTGGTTGGTTCCAGCAACAAATATTTTTTTTTTTTCTTTTGCTGTTGTTATTGTATGTGAGCATGACAATAATGAACATGATGATGAATAAACCTCAAAAACAACCATTAAACTACTAGATTACAAGTGAAAACTAAGAAATCTAAATAAAAAGAGGGTGATTACCTTAAAAAAAATAGGAACAAAAGAAAGGAAGAAGATGATGCATTGGTGAAAGGTGGTGGTGAGGGAAAGTGGGAGCGAGTAGGAAGAAGAAGTTGGTGATGGTGGGGTTTGAGGAGTTGTGGGTTTGTGAGGTTTTGAGAGAGAAAGAAGAAGATGATGATGAGAGGTAGAGAGAGAGAGTGTTGGGAAAGTGATGGCCAGGAAGGGTGTTGGGGTTTGGCTTAAAGATATATATATATATATATATATGTATATATATATTGAAATAAAATAAAATAAAATGAGTAAATAAATAAATAAACAAATAAAAAAAATGCATGATTTTATATATATATATATATAAAATAAGTAAATAAAAATAAATAAATAAATAAAACTGCATAAATTTTATCATTATTATTATATATAAAATAAGAAAATAAAAATAAACAAATAAAATGGCACAAATTTTTTTTTTTTGAAGAAATATAAAATAAGTAAATAAGCATAAATAAATAAACAAAATCTACGGGGTTTTTTTTTTTAATCAGGCCGCTCGTGCGTCCATGTGGGCCGCACGAGCGCTGAATTATGAGCCGCTCCTGCGCAGAATGTTTTTGGGCTTGGGCCGCTCATGCCGCTGGCCCTTCTGCTCGTGCGCCCCAATTTTTTTTTTTTTGTATGGGCCGCGCGAGCTCTTATTTTTGGGCAGCTCCAGCAGCGAAATTGGGCCGCTCCTACGACATGAAAGCAGTGTGCATTTGGGTTGGATCGCTCGTGCGACCTGGTCATCCGCTCATGTGCCCATTTCTGGGACCACCACTCGTGCGCCAGTGTGGGTCACACGTGCGGTCTGTTGCATACCCCCTTTTTTATTTTTTTTTATTTGTTTTATATAAAAACCCAATCACAATCCAAATAAAAATTTAAACCATTTCTACCTTCAATGCATATCTGAAATAAAAAATAGAACGTCAAAAACATCGAAATGCGCAACAAAGGTACAATCTTCACGCGAAAACCACGGATACTACTTTTCTCCCTAACTATATTTGTAACTTTCCCTATTCTCCAATAGGGTGACAGACTAGATGTAACAACCTCGTTTCATCTTGGTCGTGCTCACAGGCATACGCATGAATTTGTTTTGTTAAGTTGCATTTACAGACCTTAATTTGTTTTGTCTGAGTGTTGCTTGCATGTTTTGTTTCTTGCTTGGTGTATGTTAAGCCGAGGTCATCTTAAACCTAGGTCGCACCTTCGAACCTCTTACACCTAGGACCATCTTGGAACCACTTTGGTTGACCTCCATCTTCACCCCGGCGTCTTGGCCGAGATGCTATCATCTAGGCATCCAGCATCCTTGAACCTTGCACCTAGTGACCTTGTACCGGGACTGGAATGACCTAGACTGAGGTGTGGCACATCTAGGCCGAGGTGTGGCACAGCTGGGCCAAGTGTTATCCTTCCTAGCCGAGATCATTGAGACCTTACTTGCCGAAGTCTTTGTCCTAACCCGAGATCATTACCTACCGGAATGCCCATGTCACCTTGCTTGTTGTATACACTTTGCCATGCTCTTGTCTTGTCAGTCAGTCACCTTTTGAGGAGAGCCAACCAGCCGTTGCCACATGTCCCTGCAGAGGGTTAAGTCAGCCAGAAGTAGAGAAAACATATCATTTGTTGTATCTTTATACTAGAAGAGAGAGAAGCTCTAGGAAGAGAGGAAGAAGAGTTCTTAGAGTGAGAATAGATTTCCAAGCTTGATCTTCACACCTTAAGTCGTTAGATCCGCATTTTGAGGTTAGAATCTTGATATGCTCTTGTTGTTCTCCATGTTCATCTAATCACATTGCATGATCTAGCATTATTCATGAGCCATGCATTGATGTAAAGCTTGTTTTAGAAAGAGAAAATGATGTTCTTGTGTTCTTGAAATAAAACCATGTTTTGATCCGAAAGTTTGTATCAAGATCCATGTTTTCGTGTTTGTTTTAATGAAACCTCCAAGTATGGGTACCCAGGTCCATGTTTTCGAACTCATCTCATGAAATCTCAGATTTTGTAATAACAAGTTAAGATTTTAACATTCATGTTCTTTATGTTCTTCATGATCATGTTCTTCATGTTCCTCGAAAGGAAATCCAGATTTTCCCGACTTCATTTCCCTGAATGTGGTCATCAGGACCACACCTCGGCCAAGAGGTGTGGGACCTCGGCCAAGACCTAGTTGGTGCCCAGCATGTTTTCCCGAGATGAGAAACAGTGATTCAACTCCCAGCACATGTTTTGCTTTGTCTTGACTTAGTTTTGAAAGAAATGTTGAGATCATTTGCACTCATGCAAAGCTTGTTTTAAGAATGCATTTCATATCCATCTTTGAGCATCTCTTCTTGTCTTCTTGAAATGCATTCAATGGATTTATTATGTGCTTGTAGGCCTTGGATCCTTGCTTGTAATCCCCACACCCGAAGAGCTATGTGAGTGGTATTTTTAATAAAGTTATGTTATAAAGTTTTGATAAAGCTTTGCTTTGCTTTGGAAAAGTATTTGATCAAGCATGAATGACTATCCTTAGTTTTGTATCAAGTATTATATTTGTTTTGATGACATTCTTGGAAAGTCCTTAGTGCTAGGGGACTATAATGCAACTAGTACCCTTGTTTGAAAGTCTTTAGTGCTAGGGGACTATAATGCAACTAGCACCCTTGTTTGAGATATCTCCCTTGTCTTGCCACCGACGATTTACCGTGTGGGTTTGTCCGGAAGGTCATCTCTTGTATTATATTGATGCTAGTAAGCACCTCTTGAAGCTTTGAAAGATTTGACAGATGAACTTGGTTCATCCCTTGATTTTGTACAAGATATGTTGTGTATTGTTTGATAAAGATCTCAGATGTCATTCATTTAAACCTTTATCATTAATATCATTCACTAAGTATCCAAGCTCACCCTCTCCATATATATATGTAGGTGACGAGCAAGAAGGCGGTGACGCCTAGATGATTATTTGCAAGTTGTTTGGATTCATATTTTGTAGCACCTTGAAGATTATGCTTCTTGGCTTGGTTATTGTAGTTCATGTTGTATATGTCGGCTTGAGAAGCCTTTTGATCAAGATGTAATATGTATTTATTTTATTTGTACTCAAGTTGTAAAACCACGTTATGTATGACATTTCATTTGATCTATGCACAGCTCTTGTGTACTATTTAGATTTAAATTTATTGCTTCCGCACATGTGAGCCCCATATGTATACTCTGATTGTGTGAGAATCTTTGTAAGTTGGCCTTTGGTAATCTCGGATTACTGGCCATCATGGCACCATTCTACTAGGGGCAGAATGGGGTCGTGACACTAGGTTGATTTAGTATCCAGAATTGAGGTGCTTAAAGCTAACTCAACCAATGGGGCTACCATACAGAGTTCAAGCCGAGGTGGTTTTGAAGCAATCTCTGCACCCTTGGGTATTTAAACCAGACTCTAGTGTCGAAAATTTCAAACCTTTGGATTTTAGGCTTTGCCATTCGAACTCTAGTTTCCA